CTCCTTCTCCTCCGCCGCCGACTACGGCCCGCGCTCGCCCTGGACCCGCGGCCCGGATCCCTACAGCCAGCACGGCACCCACGCCTCGGGCTCGCCTGCTCGCGTCAGCAACGACGGCACCAGCCCCATCAGCACCATCAACCCCAGCGCCGTCGCACACAGGAGCGCCTCCTCCACAGACGGCAGCACGCATTCGCCCGCCAACGCTCACGGCACCCGCTTCCTCGAGCCACTCCCTCACCACCACCGCCAGCAGTCCCGTCCCGGCCCTCCTGGCTCTGAGCCTCCCCGCAGCCGCCCCTCGCGTGGCTCTCCACGCCTCCACTCGCTTCCAGACAACACGCTCAATCCGCTCGGCCTCCTCGCCGAAGCCAGTCTCCACAACACCCAACGCGCACGCAAACACGCCGCCTCTCGCAGCGTAGCCAGCAGCGCCAGCCGCGAAAAGGACAGCCAGCGTTCCGGCAGCACTGGCGGTCAGAGCCCGGACAAGACCATCAAGTCCGAAGGCGGAGAGGACACCACACCCGAGGGCGACGCCAATGCCGCCAACGACGATGCGCAGCGAAAGATTCCGCTTGGCGTCGCTTCCCAGAACTATTTCCGCCCCGGGCCCATGACCATCCTCCCGCTGCGACGCATCATCATCGAGCGCGAGATGCCGCCCGAGCTGCTCACTCTCGGCATCGTCTCGTCCGAAGAAGTGCTGGATCTCTTCAGCATCTTCTTCCGCCGATGCACACAGCACCTCTGTCTCCTCGACGCAGAGTGGCACACGCCCACCTTCATCTGCAGTCGATCGCCCTTCCTCTTCACCTGCGTCTGCACCGTCGCTGCCAAGTTCTACGATCGCAGGCCCGACCTGCATGCAAAGTGCATGGCGCTTACGCGCAAGGTCGCATTCGACGTCGTCAACCGCGGCTTCAAGAGCATCGAGATCGTCCAGGGCTTCCTGCTCATGGCCATGTACGCCCAGCCGGCCGAGCGCTTCGAGGAGGACAAGACGTGGATGTACAGCGGCATCGCTCTGCGCATGGCCACCGACCTCAACCTGCACCGCAAGAGCGTCGCCACCTTCAACCACAGCCCGCATCCCGACGATCCTGCCGTGCTCGACCGCGAGCGCGAAATCCTCAACCGCGAACGCACCTGGTACGTCTGCTTCGCCGTCGACCGCGGCGNCGCATACCGACGATCCTGCCGTGCTCGACCGCGAGCGCGAAATCCTCAACCGCGAACGCACCTGGTACGTCTGCTTCGCCGTCGACCGCGGCGTCAGCATCCAGATGGGCAAGCCCTACACCATCCGCGAAGACTGGATCATCCGCAACTGCCGCAACTGGGGCAGCCGCTTCAGTCGGCCCTGGGACCTCTCGGTCAGCGCCGTCGTCGATCTCTATCGCATCAGCAGCCGTCAGCTCGACTTTCTCTACTCGTCCACCTCGTCCGTCTCGGGCCTCAATACCGAGATCGACTACTCGCTCGTGCTGCCCGTCTTCAACGAGCAGCTGCAGGAGTGGCGCGAGGAATGGCGCTGGCGCGGTCTCTTCTCGGTACCCGAAGAGGGCGAGGAGTACATCGAGAACAAGAGGCGCAAAAAGGCCGCTGCTGCCGAAAAGGAGGCTGCAGCGGCCGCCAAGGACGGCGACAAGGACAAGGACAAGGACACCAACGGTGCAGCCAAAACGAGCACCACCGCCGCCGCTTACGAGTACGAGGACGACGACGAGGACGCCGAGAATCTGGATCTCAACACGCGCATCCTCATCCACCACGCCCATTCGGTGCCCGTGCGCTACAGCTTTGCCGTGCTGGTGCTCAACTCGTTCGGACTGCAGCAGGCTGTCGATCATCCCACTGGCGCCAACCTGGACCGCGCCCAGTACTTTGCAAAGTGTCTCGAGGCGGCCAAGACGATCGTGACCAACTGCTGTGGCCCGTCGCGCCGCAACATGAGGTACGCACCCGACGCACACATCCTCACGCTCGCATACGCGTGTGTCTTCCTGCTCAAGCTCATCCGCCCGGCGTTCGCCGGCTACGTCGAGGAGGAGTCGATCCTCACCTTGGTGCAGGGCGCGGTGGATATGCTGGAGGAGGTGGCGGTCAACGAGACGCACACGCCGTACCTGTACAGCGCGTTCCTGCGCGCGCTGGTGCAGGCGCGCAGGGACCACACTTCGGCCTCCAAGTCGGCACAGGGCAGTCGCGTGGTCTCGCGAGCTGTGTCGCCCGAAGCGATGGACCAGGACGCTCCCGATGCCGCTTCGGCAGGCGCAGCCAACCCGCCCGAAGGCGTTCCTTCAAGCGGTGTCGCGGAAGGCACCATCCCTGCCGCGCTCGATCCGTCGCATGCCGACTTCACCGGTTCTGCCGAGGGCAACGTCAACTGGCCCTCGCAGATCTTTGGTGCCACGTCGGGCATGGACGATTTCTGGGGCTCACTTCTTCCGCCCGGCTTCTCGCAGACTTCGATGCACGATTTGTTCGGTGCGGCGAGTGCGGATGGTCCGGGCGCCAACGGACATGCGCACCTGGCTGCCGAGGCCGAGGTGGTGGAACCCTCGCAGCACGCGACCAAGTTCGGCATGGGAGGCGGAGGCGCCTTCGACTTTGGCGGTGGCGCGATCGGGAATGGCAACGGCGGCGTGCCGTTGAATTCGGCAGCGGCCAGTGCGGCCTTGGCCAACTCGATGAGTATGACCCCCGTCGCATCGGGACACTTCTCGGGCGCCAACACGCCGCACGGCTTGGGAAGCAGAAGCAGAAGAACGAGTGCAAGCCACTTCAATCTCGGCGGTCTGTCCAATGTCAACTTTGACTTTTCGTCGTAGTCAAGAGCACAGCGCAATATCATCCCCCTATGCTACGGGCATTTCTGGTCGGAGATGGCGTGCAAAAGATGAGTGGCGGTGGTGTGGTGCTTTGAATGTGCATCCGACGGCTGGGCATGAGAGCGAGCAGAAGGCGTGGCGTCGCCCCTGGGAATGCCGGGGGCGGAGCTAGGTTCGTACGTGAGGGGCTGCAACCTTTGTCTCTGCCACCAGCACCTGAAGCCATAGCCGCGCTGTGTGATTGGAGATCGACGGTGAGATTCTGGGGCATCTTTTCGCGCGCCGATTGGATCTCTGAGCAATCCTGGCAAATGACTCGCCGGTGAAGAACCAGGTGCACTGTTGCCACATGCCCTCGTATCTTAGCAGCCCGATGCAACAGCGTCTCAAAGCACACAGTCTTTTGTATAACATCGAGTTAGGGTTGGAGATTACTGTTCGAACTCGAACGGATACATGTCTGGGTCTTGCTTTTTATCGCGCACTTGCGTCCTTGGATCGGCAGGTGGGACGGGGGCAGCCGCAACCGCCAGTGCCTTGTACTGGACACCCATGCCGGTTTCGTCGATCAACCGGTTCGCCGCATCAATGATCCTCTTGCGCGCCGAGTCGTCTTTGCCCTGAAGCAGGCGATCGACTCGCATCTGCAGACCCATTCCCACAAGCAGGTCGGCTTGGTCGATCGGCCCTGCGTAGCGTGCATTCGTCGTGTGCAGCGCCGACTTGAGATGCAAAAAGTCGACGTTGACCGTCAGATCCACTGCACCGGGGGACTGGAAGACGTCGACGAGTGCGTGCTGTTTAAAGGCTCGGAACGAGGCGCCGTATGCCTGGTCTCCTCCGTAGTCGATGATAAACCCCACGCCTCCGGCCGAGTTGGCTCCCAGACGCTGCTGTTCCGCTTCGTCGTACTGCTGATTCTGCTCCTCGGTGGCAGCGGGATTGCGAGGGGGCGAGGCGGGTCGACCAGCAACCAGTTCTCCTACGCGGCGTGCGACAGCCCACGACTCGGGGGACACTTCGACGCGCTGTCCCGGTTGGAGCGCTGCAAAGCGCGGATTGTTCTGCACCAGCATCTGCGCCCACGGCGTAGGCGTCGGCGAAAGCACAAAGCCAAGCTCCTCCTTGGGCGCCTCCATCTCCTGTCCCGGCCGCAGCACGGTAATGCTGCTCTTGGGCTTGATCCCCACTAGCACCTCGCGGAACTTTCCGTCCACATGCTTCTCGAAGATATGCGTCGGCAGCGCATCGAAAAACTCGTGTGCCGTCACAATGCTAAACTCCTCCGCCACAATCGGCACCATATCCACACTGGGGAACCACTCGACCACCACTCCATCTTCCCCCACCTCTTCCTCGGCATCTACCACGCGCTTACCTGCCGCGGCCAGGGCGTCTCGAATCGCAGACAGCTGCAGCTCCATCAAGCCCGCACTCGTCTCCACCAGCTGGATCCGCTTGAGCGTAGCCATAAACGGTCGGAACGAAGCAAACGTTCGCAGCATATCGGCCAACAACGTGCCTTTACCCGGTCCGAGCTCGACCAGCCGCGTCGAGGCGGGGGATCCGACCGCCTGCCAGCGCGCCAGGTAAAAGATCGCCAGAAGCTCGCCAAAGACCTGCGAGATCTCGGGCGAGGTGATAAAGTCGCCGCGCGAGCCGAGCACCTCGCGTTCCGTCGCGGGCGAGTTGGCCGAGGCGTAGTAGCCCTGCATCGGGTCCAGCAGACACGTGCGCATGTACGTCGAGACCGTCATCGGCCCCGACGCGCGCACACTGTCGAGCAGGATCTCGCGCAGACTCTTGTTGGCTTTCTCACCGACAACCGTCGTCGGGGCTGGTGCAGTAGGCTGGCCTTGTTCGTGCAGTGCACGACAGGTGGAGAAGGCCCGTCGTGTGTGCAGTGCGCGGCCGAACTGCATGGTCGGTGAAGATGCGGGTCCAACGAGGCCCTGCGATGGGAGGCCTGCAGTGCCGCGTTGTGCCACGCGGCGCACTGCGCTCGCTGCCGCGGGCGCAGCGGGAGGCGGGATGGCGAACGACGCAAGGCCTGTGACGGTCTGATCGTCACCGTGCAACTCGGCGGCGACAATCTGCTCGACTGCCTCGGTGGCGTACGCAACGCAGTCGTTGAGGCTGACACCCGTATAGCTCGCGCCGACGAGCGTGAGCCTGCTTGCCAGATGAGCGTTGCCGGCGAGCGCCTTGTGCAGCTGCGCCATGCGCACCGGATGCCCCACCAGGTACCACGGAATGCACTCTCGCTGCATTGTCGGCTTGATCGTCACCTTGCTCGCGTCGCGCAGCAGTTGCGCATCGATGTCGAGCTGACGCGAGAGCGCACGCACCGCGCGTGCCTTCACTTCGTCTTCGTCCGGCAGCTGCTCGAGCCCCGCCCAGTGCGCACCCCCCATCATTACTGTGAGCTTGACGGGACGACGCGAGGGCTCAGCCGCGTCCTGGTCCGGCACCGCATCGCTGTCGAAGACGACGCCGAGGATGCCGTCGTCGTTGCCCGGCGTCGTGCGCGGGATGAGGTAGCCAAAGCCCTGCACGGGCACGAGCGCGCGACCCGCCTCGGCAGCAGCGCTGGGCGAGATCACCACGTTGACCACCGCCACGTTGGCAGCCGGATTGTGCTTGAGATGCGGCAGCTCGGCGCTCGGCAGGATGTCGGCGAGCTTGGACGATGGGACGCTCGAGATCACGCGGTCGGCTTCGATAGACTCGCCCGACGCAGTGGTGATTCTAAGCTTGCCGGACTCGTCGATGTTGATAGCGCGAACGCCTTCATTCGTGCGAAGCTGAACGTTGGGGAGCGCTGCGAGACGCTGCTCGAGAGCGGCGACGATCTCCTGGACGCCCTCGGGGAAGCTGTACACGCTGATGCCCTTGAAGCTATCGACAAGCTCCTTGCCCAGCTGTTGCTCGACATGCTTGAGGCGGTCTTCCTTGGCGGCCTTTGCTGCTGCTTCGGGCTCGGGCAGCGGGCGGTGACGCTTGTTGCGCTTGGCGGGGAGCATGCTGCGAAGCACGCTGCCATGAACGCGCTCGGCTTCCCACAGGAACGGCATCACTGCACGCACGCTGAGCTTGCGCGTATCGCCTGCATAGATGCCATGTATGACAGCCGAGACGAGGTTCTCGGCGACACCCTTGCCGAAGCGGCGCGAGACGAACGAGTCGACGCTCTCGTCGTCGAGCAGTTCGCGCTGCTGCAGCCGCTTCTTCTCGGCCTGGGATTCGGAGCGCGGTCGGAGGAAGCGCGAGGGCACACGCGGCTCTCGGATGATGCTGGGCACGATGGCGCGAAGGAAGGGGAGCTTGAACAGGGCGGAAAGAAGCGAGGGGATGCTGCTGGGCAGCTTGGCGAGCTTGTCCGGGAAGTAAAGGAATCGATTCTGTGCTGAAGGCGCCGTCTTGGGCACCCGCAGAAGACGCTCGAGCAGTCCAAGCGATTGGACGAGCTGAAGCATCACCAGCCCAGAGTAGCCTGCAGGACGGATGCTGCGCGGTCCCATCTCCACGAGCGCTGTGGGGCTTGGCGACGTCGATGCGTCCGAGGGCAGGCTGATTCGTTCGGACTGGATCCAGCCGCCGAGGCGGCTCTGCTGTTCAAGCAGGACCACATCGTATCTGTCTTGAGGTAGCTGCTGCGCGAGACGGTAGGCGGAGGTCAATCCTGCAATGCCACCGCCAAGCACCGCGATGCGCTTCTTGTCGCTCGCAGCGGCGGCGAGCAGCGCGGACGAGGTGGCGAGACTCCGACGCGGAGGAGCGATCGCCGCTTGCCATGCGCCTCGCAAGCCAGTGGCCATGCGTGTGAGCATCATGGCGCCAGGTTCGATGGTGGGCGGACGCTTAGCAGCATGGCTTTTCACCAGCTCCCTATCGGCAAAGCTTCCGGCTCTCTTTTACTTTTCCAACAAGTGTGGAGTTGCCGGGGTCTTGTGGACACCTTCTTATGCCGTCAGGATTATGTCACATCATCACTGAAGTCTAACATCGAGTACGAAACTCGCACGTCGAAAACCCCTCCGCGACCTTCCGAGCCGCGAAGAACTCGACGAAATTCATGGCAGGCGCGCAGGCCCGATTTCGACTTGATCTCGTTGGGCGGGCGAATACAATCTTGGCGCGCGATTTGTAATCCGGCGCTTCGAACGTGGTCAGAGCCGCGCGAAAGAGGCCAAGAGCCAAGAAGGTGGCAGAGAGCGTCGTTCGGATGATTCGTGCGAACGAAAGAGGATTTCCAAGGCGGGCGGAATCCGCCGCCTCGTCGACTGCCAACACCCGGCTCGAGAAATCGTCAATGGCCGTTGGTCGCCATCGCTCGCAATTCTCTCTCTCCACCATATCACTTACATCCTCCTCATCCCATACAGCAAAGATGGTTCTCGTACGTACCAGCAACGCCAACGACGTATCAGCTCGCATCTCGCCGTACAATCGCTGCTTGATGCAGAGGCTGCAGACTCTTCGACTTGATTGCTGACTGCTCTTCTTGCTCTTCTGCCGCTTCTTCCTGCTACGTACCCGATACGTGCTTGTCTCTTCCACCTCGCCATCTTCATTCGCATCCGACTTGTGCACCGCATCGCATCGACTCTGCCGCCGCCTCATGATCCGCATTTCGACCTGCATTCTTGGTCCTTTCACGCTCGCCACTTTCCAACCCGTCATACCAACACACACACTTGCACCTTTCCGACTCGTTGGCATTGCAGGCACTTTCGGGACTCAGCCTGGCCAAGTACGTGCAGTCGTCGCCGGCGCTCATGCGCATGCTCAAGCCCGTCGCCAACGCCTACGCCAACGCCACCGGCCACCGTCAGATGGGCCTGCGCTACGACGACCTGCTCGTCGAGGAGTCGCCACGCGTCCAGAAGGCGCTCTCGCGTCTGCCCGAGCGCGAGGCTTACGACCGCGCCTTCCGCCTGCGCCAGGCCAGTCAGCTCTCCGTCCTCCACCGCGAGCTTCCCAAGGACCAGTGGCTCCCCGCCAAGGAGGTAAGCATCTCATACTACCGCCCTGCGCATCGCTCGTCCTCTCCTTCTGCAGCCATGCCAAGGTGCGAGGCTCGCTTTTGCGGACTAATTGCGCTTGGGGGGGTATTTGTAGGACCGAAGACAATCTTTTCCTGAAAAGCAGTTCATACTGACGTTTGTTTTCCTCGCTCACTACAACAGGACAAGCGATACCTCACGCCCTACGTCGCCGAGGTCGCCGAGGAGGAGTCCGAGCGTGCTGCGTGGGACACCGTCGCCGTCAAGAAGGGCCACTAAATCATCTCCCAAGGATTGCACTTGCCTCGACCGTCTTGTGATCTCATGAAATCCACACACCATTGCTCGTATTCAGAGGCTGAAGGCTGCCAGGTTGTTCTCTCGGGCTGCTTGTACAGTGTTGCATTGCGTGAGGGAGACGAGACACCAAGGGTTCTTGACGATTTTCGTGAAAACATGATGCGGGTGTTAGGACTTGGGGGCGTCTTGAAAGATGCCGATGATGAGGGCCCAGCCAAAGACGATCTGGGCGACGGCGATGCAGAAGAGGAACTGGATCCTACGCGAGCGCTGGGCATGCGTGATGGTCTGGCTCGATGGCGAGCTGGGATCGGGCAGGACGACATATCGCAGACTGCGCAGCAAGAAGAAGGCATTGGCTGCAAAGCAGTACAGAAACACGGACCAGTACACCAGCCCGCGCACCTGCAGCAGGCCGACGAGCAGCGTGATGAGCGTGCCCACGAATTTGTAGCCCGAATACGCGAGCAGGTCCATCATCGTATGGTCGCCCTGGATGTTGAGCAGGTACGTGCCGAGCTTGATGGCGGCGAGTTCGACCAAGACGATGGCGAGCGCGCGCGATGCGCGCAGCCCCAGCACCTCGGGATGGAAGCGCGATTCAAGACCGAGGATCACACTCGTCACGATGATGTACGTGACGAAGGCCATGGTGGGGATGTACAGGTCGGGAGAGTTGACGTCGTCGCGCGGAGGCAGGTAGCCGTCTGCCCCGGACGAGGCCGTCTTGACCGCCGACGTCGACTCTGCATATGCCGACGATACATGGCCGCCGCCCGACGAATGGCGGTGTGCGCGCGACCACGGCTTGTGGCGCCAGGGAAACAGCACGATGCGCAGCTTGTGCAGCACGTACGAGTTGGACACGTTGAAGTAGTGCTTGAGCACCGGCATGGGCAGCAGCGCATTGAAGTTCTTCTGCACGTACTCGCCACCCACAGCCGCCATGTGCTGGCCAAACTGCACGCCCATCTGTGCGGTTGCATCGTTCATGATCGGTGGTCCTCCTGCACCGCCGAATCCAGGGAATCCACCCCAGCCCTGCGCCTGACCTGCGTTGGGGCCGGTCGCGTTGGGGAAGTAGCCCGCATTGCCGCCCACCGGCGCGTACGAGGACGAGGCATAGGACTGGTTGGGTGGTGACTGGATGGGCGGAGATGCAAATCGCTGGTAGCCGCCGCCGGCAGCAGCCTGCAGGTTGGCGGCCGGCCCACCGCGGCGGCTCGCCGACGATACGTGCGGGTCCGCCACGCTCGACTGCGGCACGGGGTTGGGCGAGATGGGCGGATCCGGCACCTTGAACGGCGGGTGTGTGGGGATCGGATGCTGGAGTGGTGGAGGCGACCTGGACGGATAGCCGCCGCCTTGTGGTTGGTACATGCTGCTCGTGTGGCTGTCGCGGTCGCAATCCAAGCCGTAGGATGATGCTTGGTGCAATGGAAGTTCTTCGCTTGGTTCGCAGAGTAATCAGGTGTTCCGGTACGAAAGAATCGACCTGTATTCGAGTGGGGCAGGGCGAGATGGTTGAACTGAAGATACAACGGCGAAGGAAACTGGCAACGTGGAACCGTATCTGGAAGGTGGGGAAAGGGACGTGTGGAAGAGTCGACGACGATCAGCGCCCAGCGCAAAGGCTTCCAGCTGGCCTGTGCTTGGCGGGACCGCGCCAGCAGCGCCCTCGCCCTCTCTCTCTCTCTCTCCCTATCCTTGCCGCTGAGCTTCGTGTGTGTGTGTCTCTTCCACTCAGCCTCGAAAGCTGCGAAATCAATCTTCAAAAATGTGAGATCTGAGTTCCCACATGCTTTCACAAAATCCACGCTCTGTGACCACGCCGACTCAGCCTTTGCCATCAATCTTATGGACCGGGAGAGGAGGGCGATTTTGCGTCGCCTGCTCGAAATTTTTGTTCCCTCGCTGCGGGCCTTTTTGATGTAGCAGCGCAACACGACGCACTTTGATGGCTTTCGGCTGAGCTGCATTTCTTCTAAATTTGCAGCAGCGGCGAACGAGCAGCAAGTGCGATCATCGTTGCGTCAGGCCGCCTCGCCTCTGCCTTCCTGGACTTCAAGTGACGCTGCGCTGCACAAGGCCTGCCAGTTGACGAGCCTGGAAAGCGGTGGCTGCAGCTGCCCGCGGATTGGCGATGGATCCAGAAATCCACACGGCGGCCGTCTCTTCTCCCCCTCCACCATACCGTTTTCACCAACACATACACACATCCAACATGCCCAAGAACAAGGGAAAGGGAGGCAAGAACCGTCGTCGCGGAAAGAACGACGTCGGCGACAAGCGCGAGCTCGTCCTCAAGGACGAGGGCCAAGGTAAGCTCCCCCCTTGCCTCGCCATCTGCAACCCCGCGACTGCGCAGTTCTTCACTGACTCTTGCTCTTCATGACGTTCGATAGAATACGCCCAGGTGCTCAAGATGCTTGGTAACGGTCGTTTGGAGGCACAGTGCTTCGACGGTGAGAAGCGTCTGGCGCACATCCGCGGCAAGCTGCGCAAAAAGGTGTGGATCAACCAGGGCGACATCATCCTCATCTCGCTGCGCGACTTCCAGGACGGCAAGGCGGACGTCATCCAGAAGTACAACGCAGACGAGGCACGTGCACTCAAGCAGCAGGGCGAGCTGCCCGAGTCGGCCAAGATCAACGAGACCGACACCTTCGGCGAGGAGGAGGGCGGAGACGTCGAGTTCCAGGAGGGCTCCGACGACGACGACGAAGACTCGGACGACGACGACGATCTCGACGACCTCTAGAGTTTCGCTTCACCTTCCTGGCACCTTCATCCGTTGTACGATACACACACACACACACTTACATGCGCGCCTGCAAAAATTCAACGCACGACTCGTGCACATCCAG